GTGGATCAGTAACTGATGGCTGACCGTGTCGATTGCTACCGACAGGTCCAACATCAACAGTACTGCCAATCCGCCCCAATCCAGATGCTTCCGGAGATCATCCGTGAGTGTAACCAGTACTGTCTCTGTCCCATGGCCTGGGCGAAAACCGGACTGAATTGCCACAGCCCTCTCTATTATTTTGCCCAAATAGGGCAAATTGGAAACCCGCCAGTAGTTAGCTAGTATGGCCAGATCCAGAGATGGCTTCTTCAGGAGAAGGAAACATCAGTCACAGCAGTCAGTAATCCCTGACAACAGCATGACGATTCCCACTACAGTGACTACTGCAACAGTGTCAGAGAGGACATAGAAGAGCTGGTACTGGTGCCAAGCTGATCTCGGCAGTGTCCTAAGGTGATGGTACATAATAAGATTGATCAAGTTGAACAGGGAAGGCCGGTGTCATTTTGGACATCCACCACCACAGCCAAAAGCCTTGCTACTATTTTTTACCATTTTAAAGCCTTTGAGAATGTTGTACATTTTATTTTAGAGTTGAATCTTGTTATTTCACCTGTGAGAACTTCTAGAAAAATTGTGTTAGTTTTTGTGGCTTGAAAAGATTTGGAGAACCGTTCAGTTTAAGGCCAATAGCTATTATCTGTGTGCAGATTGAAACTAGTGCAGTTTCCAGCTCATTCTCCTAATTCCTGTGTAGTGATTCAGTCTAACAGATTTTTTTCACAAGATGCTTTCAAATATTGATATAAATTTAGGTCAGCACTTCAGGATATTTTCCCCTCAGCTATACATCATAATCTCTGCTTTGCATTGCTCTCACTGATAGGCTGAGTACATATATACATTTTGTATTTTTAACATTATGTATTGACATAATTTATACTGCAAATGAATGGTCCGTCCATTTTGCCTGATATTGAACCTGTAAAGGCTGGGTGGGGGGAGATGCATATCTTTAGAATGCATCACCAGAGCATTAGAAGACAGGGAAGGAAGCAGAGGAGGTGATACTTTGAAAATGTAATTGAAGGATGTGTATCATAAAGTTTTGCTGGAGTGTGCCCCTTGGAACTGCTAAAGCTTATAATAATAAATACTCTTTTCACTGCATCCAAATTTGGCCATTCCTATTACCTTAAACTCCTGCCAACCTAGCAGTTCGAAAGCAAGAAATTGCAAGTAGATAAATAGGTACCACTTCGATGGGAAGGTAACAGCGTTCCGTGCGCCTTGGTGTTTAGTCATGCCGGCCACATGACCACAGAAACATCTTCGGACAGCGCTGGCTCTTAGGCTTTGAAACGGAGATGAGCACCGCAACCCTAGAGTCAGACTCGACTGGCTTTTGAGCAAGGGAACCTTTACCTATTACCTTAAAACACCATGGGGATCTTTTATCACTTGTTTTCAAAGCAAAGTTTCCTCAAATCCTTCTGAGCAAAGTAACAGCATTGAAACGTTGTAATAAATAGTGCCAACTCTGAACGTTTGACTGTTCAGATACCCTGATAATGATACCACAGCCCACAGTGCTTTACAAGTGACCTTTCTGAAACTTTCTTAGAATTTGCAAAATCTACATACAATCTCTGACCAGTTTCAGTAAACTTTGGTGATGTTGCTTCAGTGGCCCCAGTGATTTGGCAACTTTTCCCCTCATCAGTCCTAATGACTTCAGTAGAACTGCTGCTTCCCAAAATAACTTTTGCTCCAGTCCTCAAGAATATTTGTTTGAAAGTAAGATTTCTGGTGGCTCTTGTTTCCAAGTAAATATTTAAAATGTATAGGCTTTAACCAGTGATATTCAGTGGCTCAGGAGCTACATGTGGCTCCTATAAGCACCATTCTCTATTGTAGCACCTGCCCTGTGTTTAGGATAAGTGGGAAAGACCTTTCCTGGTTGGGGCTTGTGGTGGATAGTTGACTCTCAAGTTGAAACAGCTGGTGATAGAAAAGTGGGTAACCTGCAAACCTTCCTGAGGTGGAGACATAATGCCAGGAATGGATATAAATGAGGCTCTTCTAAGTAATCGTAATTGTGAATGTGGCTGTTTGAGTGAGCATCATGCTATGCAATTGGAAGTAGATTCATGAAAACCAAAAGGGCTATTCTCCAGTTAGGATTAGAGGTACTTTATATATACTGATGTCTGCTTTTCTGTCCTACAATTCCATATGTTTGGTGACTACCCATTGATGACCTAGCCATGTCAGGGAGGCAACTTGTGTGTGTAGTCTTCCCAGTAGCGTGCTCTTGAATGAAATATTGTACAGTGTGTTATATCCTGTTTAAGATTCTGTGTAGAAGTTGCACCATTCACTGAAGTGGCTTTGTGTTGCAGTAAGGCTCATTAGGTTTAGGGCTTGCTCTCAACTGGAATGTTCATAGAGTTTAACTTTACAGTTCTGCTGGGAGGTGCTTTTTAAAGCATGCAGAAAGGAAATGGCTATAGATTGAGTGAGCATCACTGGCTTAAACGTATGCTATGCAATTGGAAGTAGATCAGTGTGAAATCCTGTAAGAGTGTCACCTGAAATAACTGAGCTGGTGGTCTGGTTTACTAGTCCCCATATATAAGAACACAACAAGCCAATGCAGAAACTTCCTACAACTGAGATTTTGAAAGCTATCTGAAGGCTTAATTTAAAAAGCTTTTCCAAACAAAAGATATATTAGTGTGGAGATCAAATAGACCACACTATAAAATATAAAAATAAAAACTTTGGGGTTTAATTGAACATGACACCACCTGCAAAAAACAATTAAGCATTCCCCATTGGCAGTACAGGAATAGAATTGCAGCAAAGACACCAGTATAAAAGGTTTAATTTTGTCAAGTTCACCCAATATGCCCATTTCACTTTCCTGTTTAATGTAACAAAGACAAGCAATTGACCTAATCATGGTGGAAGAATTCACAGAATATATAGGACTGAAAATTGCATTTTACTTTTCTTTTTCTTTTCTTTACTTTTTCAGCCAATTTCTCAGTCAAGGATTTGGTTCTTCCAACAAGTTGGATTCATATTGTGCAACTAATGATGCTGCCGATATTTTTAATGGTAGTTTGTGCACTGGCTGAAATTTGAAAGTGGCACTACTTTTGTTGACATAATCCAGTTAGAGCTGAGCATATTCAGGTTCAGTTAATTTCAGTGGACAAGACTGAACCATAAATTTAACCCTCCCATTGAAATTAACAGAAGCTAAGGGGGTGGGGTAGTTTTGAAGAAAGTGTGTAACCTTAACTGTTATTTGGCTTGGGGACAAAGAATCTCAGTTTGTATCACTTACTGAAGCCCACAGTTTGTTGGGCTTTTATATACTACTTTTTGGTTACAAATAGTAATATTGTGGATGGCATAACTGTATTATATGAGTTGCAGAACAAGGATTTTTTTTTTCCTTCTAGCAGAGGCTTTACTGTTTATGCACACACTGGCAGCATGAAAGCAGAACAAAAAGTCTTCCAGGAACTTGTTCTTTGTGCTGTTCTTTAGAGTTTGTCTTAAGATATGCATTAATCCCTTTTATGTTCACCCCTGCAATGTATATTTGATTTCAGACAGGCACCCTGAGTAAAACAAACTCATAATTCACCATCAGAGTAGAAAAGCAAATCAGTGACAGTGTAAGGACTGCTGGTGGGGGAGGGGGTGGTACTGGCTCTTCTCCTTAGTGTAGTTTACCTCAAGAAATAAAACTGTCTTTCATTTTATCGTTCATAGTTGTTTTCCCCTCTATATACCATCAACTAATTTAACTCTCTTGAGAAAATGATAACCTTCTCATCCTTTCCTGTAGAGCAGCACAACTAAATTCAACATGCTTATCAAGCAAAGCAGTTTGCAGGCATTTAACAAAGCGAGACTATCTCTAATACTAGCTAGATAACAGCATTAATGATTAATCTCAGGGAGAGAGGTAGAATTTTAACCTTAACCGAATTCCACCCTTATTAAGTATAGAACTTTAATCTTAAAATCTAGCAACAAATACTGACTAAATGATACAATTTTTTAAAAAGCTCAGGCGATGTCTATGGTTTTTGGAAATAGCACTGTGCCATTTAGTGCCATTGTAAACATGCTCTCTATTAAAATATACACTAGCATTTCCTCAGCTAAATTAGTCCTCAAATCAACTTGCCAAATCTGTAATATTTTCTGTGAGTATGTCAGTTCAGTCTACCCCACACTCCTTAAAACTAGGGGAAGTAACAATTCTGCATTATGAAGGGTATAATGCTACTGTTGTGCTGAAGCCATATTTCTCATTCTTCTTTTGATCTTTCCATTCCCCAGGTGTACATATCTGGGAAGGGAAAGATATATAAGCTTAACAAACAGTTAGTAAAAACCTGAGGAGTACCTTTCTTTCTTTCTCCTACCCCACTTTGCCTTTTCTCCTTTCATATGTTATGGGAGAGGAGGGGTGACTCAGGGGCATTGGAACTGCGGTCTGATGATGCAATTGGATATGACTGGGGAGAGTTATAAAAGGGGCAGTAGGAGATGAGGGCTTTAATGGGGGGTAAAATGGTGAGTATGGTCTTTGAACATCTGTTGCGTGGGAGTTTGGCTTTTCACCCATTTGAGTTTAACACTCCTGCTATAGTCTCAGTTAATGTGTTTTTGTAGTAGACTGTTATTTAACTCATTTGATTATCTATAGTGCACAGAGTGTGTGTAACCTTTCCCCTTGTGTCTGTTACCCACAGTGCTTTAGGCAATGTTTACATTGGGGCCTTGGTGATAGGAATTGTTTGGAATCCCAGTGTCTTAATTTTTTTATTTATGTAAATCTCCATGCAATGCAAATTAATTTCCCAGAATATAAAATCACAAAGCTTCATTGTGTATTTTCTGATATGGATACATGGGGAAACTTCTGATTTATAAGTAGTATAAATGTAGTCTGAATTATAGTAACTGTGATTGGTAAAAACAGGTTTAAAGAGAACTTATGGCAATGGCTACATTTGTCTGTCTTCCAGGTCGACTCACCAATGAACTTGAAACATCCTCATGATTTAGTAATTTTAATGAGACAAGAAACAACTGTTAACTACCTCAAAGAGCTGGAGGTAAGGCTTCTGTTACAAATTAGTTTTATAAACTTTGTAAGCAGCAGGAAGAATGACACTAGTTGGTATGTATTTGAAGAATTAAAGTATTTTATGTTGTATTATGTGCCAAGGTTGTGTTCTTGGTAGTCTTATTAAAGTTTATATGGAGAAATCCTAAATTTAAAAATTGTATATTAGCATTTGGCCGTTCTGTGTTGTGGGCCTTGGCCAATATCCATGACTTATTTCTGTTAATCCATGGGAGCTTGACACTTGTTTTTTTTGAGCAGCAGCTCTCATTGACTCATGACAGATTTCTTTTGGGAGTTACAAAAGCAGCTTCTGGTATGAGGTGAGAGGCCATCAATTCAAAGAAAAAAAAGTCCAAAAGTGTACTGGGCTAGTGCATATAAGCACTTCTTGGCATCCCATTCTTTATTTAAAATAACTGTTCAAGGCTTGTTAAACACGGTTTCATTGCATTTATGCTTTCTCCTCACTTGCGGAAATACTTTTCAGTTTTATAATAACTGAGTCTTATGTTAAGCAAGTAAATACTTTGGTATTCCAAAACTCTATATCCAAATGTAATGTCAAAGACACTTTGGGCTTTATCGGAGTAGTTCCCCACGCCCCACTGGAAAACTGCTATTGAACTACAACATTCTTTCAAAAACAATTGATATGGCTTCTGAGGAGTTCTTGTATTATAAAACAAAGACCTCTTGGCTTGCCCATCCTCTTCTATACACTTACATAGATTTCATTCCAAGAGGTTTCGGATATCCAAAATATACCATTGTGAAGGAACTTAATTTTTTAAAAAGTACTCAGAGTATTCTTGCCTCTGTTTTCTGCAAATTATCCTTTGTGTCTAAACGCACAGACCACCCCACCGTTTCTTGACCCTTGAAGAATATTGGCAGCCTTGGTTGTTTGCAAAGACTTGGTCTCCTGGCAATTATGTCCAATATGATGATTGATCATGGCTAGAAATATAGTCTCTGGTCTCTTCATTGGAAACTGGCATCATAAACCATGTGATTTTGCTTCTAAGTCCTAACTCTGATAAGATCTTGTAAGTGTTGCAGTTAATCTTGTGCGCAAAATTTTTCTTGTATCGAAAGTTATTTTTCTACATCTATGTATTAAGAACATATTTTATTCTTCCATGTTGTATTACATCAGTTTCATTCCACTATTTCTCAACTGTTTTGAGGATAATATGGGTAAAGTTTTCTTTACTGGACACTTGAGCTTTTCATAAGGAGAAACGTATCTTGATCTATATATATATTACTGTTTTGGGGTGTTTTTTTTAGAAACAATTAGTTGCTCAAAAGATCCATATAGAAGAGAATGAAGATAGAGACACAGGGCTGGAACAAAGACATAATAAAGAAGATCCCGATTGCATTAAAGCAAAGGTGCCATTGGGGGACTTGGATCTCTATGATGGCACATATATCACCTTGGAAAGCAAAGATATCAGGTAATGAGATGGCTAGTGTGTAAGAATTTACAATCGCTATGCTTTCTGATGGTGGGGAAGAGAGTATGGAAATCTCTGCTTGAGCAATAATAAAGATTTCTGAATTATTAGATAATTGCACGTTTTGGGGTGGAGAGTATACTTGTTCTGTTTTAATAGTGAGTATTGTATAGAACATTATAAATGTTCAAAATGCTTAACTCACTGTTATCTTTACAAGAGACATGTAAGGTATGTCAGCATTGTTGTACTCTTATTGTAAGTGGAGAGCCAAGAAAGAGTGGCCTTCTTAAGGTGAGTTAAAGGTAGAGGGGAAATTCTGTTTTACAGCAGAGTCTTTGAGCGTCTCTGCTATATAATAATTGTGTGTCATCAAGTTATAACCGACTCGTGGTGACCCCAGGACCTTGGCAAGTAATATTCAGAGGTTGTTTGCTGTTGCCTTCTTCTGTATAGCAAGCCGAGTCTTCCTTCATGGTCTCCCATCCAAGTACTAACCGTGGCCAATTTGCTTCGTTTCCAAACTCTGATGAGATTGGTCTAGTCAAGCTATTCAGGCTGCTGTCGGGGCCCATACTAGTTCTAACATATCTTAGTAAATCACCAGTATTCCATTTGAAGATCTTTGGGATTCAGTTGGAATCCTGAAATGTTGAGCTTGAGTAATGACAATATGTTATTTTATAATCATAAGATAACTTTAATTGATGTGGGCAGTTTTTGAGAGGCCAAGTAATCAGAGCAGTTACTTAAGTTTTTAATACTTGATACTTGCAGAACAAGAATGCTTCACAGTCTGAAAGTCTGAGTTAGGAGGCTGAGCTCTGAAATGAACTGGAGCTTGAAGTGATGGAATTTACATTCCCAACTTGTTCAGAGACTCAGCTAGTGGTCTTGGATAAATTACATTCTCTGTGTTCTTTCACTGTCTATGTCTAACTTACAGGTTTATTGAGACTAGAAATATATTACAGGTGCTATATAATGTTAGAATAGCTGCTAATTTAAAGAGGTAACACTGGTCTAGCTCAAAGAACCACTGTAGTCGTAGCAGCCACTGTAGTTATGTAGATTTTGTATAGATTATGTATTGATTGTCAACTCAAGGGATTTTCCCAAAGTATGTCTTGGTGCTGTTCTGCTTGTACATTTGTATGTTTTAATCTCTCTCGGGAATAAATTATTATTCTGCTGATTTGTGTTTCTGGAATTGTCTAAAGCTCTGCTTGTAGAAATGTCCATAGCTTTTCTCTGTCAAAACCTTCCAATAAAATAAGGGGTGTGGTCAGGATAATTCGATGGGAAATATTCACTTTGGCTGAAGTTACAGTTAATGTATTGAGTAGTTTTCTATCATCAAACCCCCTTTTACAGCCTGCTACAACAATATTTTATCACCAGGCTTTCATAGGCATTCCTAAAATGTATAAAATTTGCCTTTGGTGATTATGGGACTATGGGATTATGGCAGAATCCAGAGGAATACCTTGATTCAGAATATCATTCTTTTTAATTCCCCATTGAGGCTATTCAGAATATGGCACTAGAATATCCTGAATTTATATTTAACTGTGTACCTGTTTTCTGGGAGAGAGATTAGAGTTGCTTTCCAGCCTTTTATGTATCACTCAGTAAAAATACTATTAGTGCAAACAGTTCTGAAAGAGCTCTTACTGTATAAAGAAGATTGCGGAGCTAATAGATAAACAAAACAGTGAAATGTTAGCATCGTTCTTGCCTGACTCCTGTTACCTGTCATCTAATAGTCTATTGTTTGTATTTTTTTTAATTTAGTCCTGAAGACTATATAGACACAAAATTTCCTTTACCCCCTGATCTAGAACAACCAGAATGTACAAACATTCTAGATCTTCCATACAGCATTCATGCATTCCAGCATTTACGGGTAAGCAACGGTTGTTTAGGTTCTTCTACCACTTTGCCTCTGACTTGCCCCTCTTGCTGAGATGACTAAATACATTCTATAGTTCAGACTGTTTCTTCTATAATCACCTAATTCACGTAATCAGTTTTGTGAAGCAAATGATGTGCAGTTCAAACAGTTTTATGATTTTGCAGCAAGCACTTTCTTTGTAATATTTGGCAAAAGGCTCAGAATGCAGGGCAGGGCAGACCTCCTAGTGGTCAGTTCCTTGTTCAGGTTCCTTCTCCTTTACAGCTACTATTTTATACACACACATGCTCACACACCCCAACTTTGTTGACTAACTAAGTCCAATCTCTCTACCTTTCCATCCTTCAGATTCATTCTTATGCGGTTTTGGGTGGAAATGTTCAAATCCTTTTGATACTTTGAAAAAGTAATAACGTACACAAATTTGTGTTTGGCCAGAGTGAATGAGTGAAGAATAGTGAGTTCATAGGTTCAGAATTTAGATTTTTTTTCTACCTATAATGCTGCTACTACACCAAACCTTTGTTAGTTAAGCCCTGCAGCATAACAATCAGGGGTCATCCCATTGCAGTCCATATGCTTCATCCTGCCTTATCACAGTTACAGGACATTTACTTCAATCGAAGTGCTGGCCAATCATTTGCAAAATTTCCCACAAATTACACCCTTATGTTTTTCTGCATGTTAGTAGGGCACAAATATTTTAAGGTGTGGCCAGAATACCCTTTCTAACCAAGTCTAGTCTTTTTAAGTAGAATGGTATGAGCAGTACACTTTCTAAATATTTAAAGATTCATGATTATACAGGAGGAAGTGTGATTTCTTGGTTTCTCCCTGATTCTGTCTCCCTGATTCTGTGTTACTAAGTGAACATACATGGCAAAAACCCATCAGGATTACTTGTATTAGTATATAACTGGTAATAGAAGTGCTGGTGAGGGAACATGAATTAATAACAACAATGCTGTAGCACTGTAGTGCAGTGAGAGGGTTGGATCCCTTGGAATACTTTCTTTGGGGGGGGCAGACAGTTTTCACTGGCTCTCCCTCCTGCTGTACACCTCCAGCTCCACACACAAGCACCCCGCCATGCTTTCCTGGGCGTCCTAATCCCCGGGAACAGCATTTTGCTGAGCATTTTGTACTTCAGCAGAAAAAAAAAGAGTGAGGCAAGAAAGTTATGCTTTGCTGACAGAAATCCTTCTGTGGGATCCAAACAAGTGTGATTGGTTCCTTATAGAAGTGTATGTGAACAGTGTTCAGCACAAAAACGCTTTCCAGTGCAATCCTTTTGTGATTCTTGGTCATGCCAACCCTCCCACAAGGAGGAAGACAGCACTAATTCAAAATAGACTTAAAGGAGTCCTCCCTCTTAAAACTTTTGTACAATTAAGGAAGACTGGTATTAATAAAGGGGTTGTGCAGTATCTTTTGTGATATATAAAGAGATGATACTTAGATGTTTGGATATATGATTATATGTATTAATGTTTATATGATAATATAATGGTGAATAATTTGTAATAAAAATAGAAAAATAATATATAAACAGCTTATATATAAACTACTTGAGATACTTTGTAATCGTCTGTAACACGGTATTTGCTGACTTTTGGTATAACCCTCCCACAAGGAGCGTTGCAACTTCTCTCGTTTTCAAAACTTAAGCTGAGGACTTCAGGGCTTTGTTTTTTGTTTTTTAAATCTGTACATTCTTGAGCAACTGTTCTCTGTTCAAGTGTTTTTCCAAATGGCAAATCTTCCACACCTGAGCCTTTGCAATATTCAGAGAGACATGCTGTCACATCTAGGTCCTGTGTGCAGCACTAAGCTGTTCAGATCTGGGTTATATACTGTATGTTTTGGGTTTTTTAGCTTGCTTTATATTTTATCTTTTGTAGTGTACCTTCAGGCATTTTAGGTAAATATTTTTAGCGCCTGGTGACAGTCTTAAAATCATACCATGGGCAGTGTTCCCTCTAAGCTGAGTTAGTGTGAGCTAGCTCGCAGTTTTTTGGCCTCTGGCTCACACATTTTTGTCTCAGCTCAGGAAGGACGGCTCCAGAGCCAACTCATTTATGCAGCAGCCAAATCGCCAGCTCACAACTTTAATGTCGGCAGCTCATGAAGTAGAATTTTTGCTCACAACGCTCTACGGCTTAGAGGGAACATTGACCATGGGTATATCAGATTTGGTATTTTGAAAGAAAGCTAGAGACACTTCATAACTAAGCTGTTTCATGGTAAGTATTTTGCCAGCATTAAACATCAGATCTGGCTTATCAGGAATTCAACCTAATGTTCATGTTTTTTGAAACTTTAGTAGTTCATGCTAGAAACAGTAGTGAGTAAAGCATAAAAGTAGCTAGCATTTTTCTTTGTGGACTGCCTTAGCATTTTCTGCAACACATGTAAAGAATGTTGGACCTAGGCACCCTTTAATTTCTTGCAGCAAGGCGTTTAAGCAAGAGTGCATACTAAGGATCACTTCACACAATTCAGTAATGCCTGAACTGTTTAAAAAAACCCTGAGTATGTTCTCTTTGTACTTTTAAAATATGTTAGTGGACAACAGGCGTTCTAGTAAGATGGGTCTTCAGTCTTGATGCTAGAGAATCTCATTGTGTGTGCCAGATCACTGACTTTTTCCCCCCTCCCAATCTAGGGTATTCAAGAACGAGTTAACCTTTCGGCACCCTTGCTATCTAAAGAAGATCCTATATTTACTTACTTATCCAGAAGGTTAGGAAGAAGCATAGAGGAGATCGGTCATCGCATTTATGATGGTCTCATGAAGGTATGCTTTCAGTGACCACCTTAATCATTTTCCTGGAAAGAACATCTAGAAGCACTGATCCAGCATAATTTTTCTGGATTTACAAGGGCTTGTTCAGATGCTATCTAAGTACTAGTTACATGAAAATGTCCTAACTGGTAAAAAATGTGCTAGTGAAATGTAGTGAGATGCTGACTCATTTTGTTAATGATAAGAAGTCCATTTTCATTTTTCTGGCCTTCATGGTTACTGTTTATTGTGAAAACCAGAAAAGAGGGGTGTATTCTGAATCTGGTGTCAGCTTCTGCTACATGAAGACTCAGCTTGTTCGTTTGTTTTTACATTGATTGTATCTTTTTATTGTTACAGAACTCATCTTCTTGGGTATTGTATAACATGGCTTCCTTCTATTGGCGAATAAGGAATGAGCCATATCAGGTGGTGGAGTGTGCCATGCGGGCACTCCATTTTTCTTCAAGGTGAGGCTTTCTCCATGAAGCAGGGAAATGGCTTTTACAAGTAGCATAAGATAACACATTGTATGGTTGAAAATTAAATTGAACAGAAATTTCAGTCTCATCCCATCTAACTTGAACAGGCAATGTGTCTGTTGATATGCAGTTTAACTTCCATATTTTGTGTAGTTGTTTGTAGGCCAAGCTGCCTCTTGTCTCAGCTTAAGCATCACTAAGAAAATACTAAATTTTCAGTGTGTGCTGTTTGCTAACCTGAAACAAATGACAGTGAACATTTTATGTTAACTGTAAAGCTTATACCAAAATGTCCATCGCTTATACCAGATTTGAAATGTTCCCTGTGCCAAGAATAAAGTGGCTTAATTATATCTCACTTTTGCCCTTTTGTATAGCCCGTCTTCCTCACCCAACCCTTCCTTGAGTAAAATGTGTCACCAGTTATCTCATACTGCAGTGAAATCAACTTACTAGTTTAATATGTAGACAATAGGAATGGAAAGCTAAGCCATCAGAATAGCACAACAAAGATTTGCCTTGACACAGTTATTGAGAAAATGTATTTTTGCTTTGCAAGGCTATCAAAAGCTGTAGGTGTTTGATTAGCTGCCATTTGCTACACTGTTGCTTTAAATGTGATGCAAGTGTATCCTTTCATAGATCATTTTGTACTGGATATGTAAACCTGTATTTCATGAATAACTTTTTTTTACCTTACACACATTTTTATTTTCAAAATTGTTGGAAAAGTTAATCTGCAAATCAAGGATGCAAATCGTGTCTATAAAAAGCAGCAGTTCCAATGTGTGAAGTTAGGAGTTGAAGGGCTCCTCCATATGGAGCCAGATCAGCCGTTTCTGCAAGCCCAGTGCTGATGTCAAGACTGGCAGCATGTCTGAAATCTGTTTTAGCATGGGGTCAGGGAGGCGACTTTCCAGTTCTCTGTCATCTTGGCTTCCTCGAGGGATGATAGAGATCAAACCTAGAGCCTCAAGTTTGCCAGCAACATCGAGAAAGCACTTTTGATAACATCTCACTGACAACTTGTTCTTTCCTCTCTTTCAGGCACAATAAAGACATTGCACTGATAAACCTGGCGAATGTGTTGCACAGAGCACATTTCTCTGCTGATGCAGCCATCGTGGTCCACGCAGCTCTGGATTACAGTGATGTCTTCACTAGTTATTATACTTTGGGAAACATATATGCAGTAAATACAATGTTTTCGGTCATCTAGAATGGTTGCGTCATGTTGCTTAGTTCTGTAAGGCAGTAAGAGTGAGAGTGATGGGATCCAGCTGTCTTTGCAGAGGAATTGATCTCTCAGCTGACAGATAACAGCTTTTCATCTGAGTCATTTGTTTGAGAGTTTGACTAAAGTAGCTAGTATATCACCCATTTGACTCTCTGAGTGATCCCCTGATAAAACTAGTAATTGCTATAAAGAAGCTCGAAAGTAATATTTTACTGATCTCTGAGCGCTGCTAATGTGCCTTTTTTTCTCAATCCTTTTTCAGATGCTTGGGGAATACAACCACTCAGTACTGTGTTATGATCATGCTTTACAGGCCAAACCAGGGTTTGAGCAAGCAATAAAAAGGAAGCATGCTGTTCTATGTCAGCAAAAGCTCGAGCAGAAACTGGAGGCCCAGCATAGGTAAGTAGAGATGGTGGAAAGTGTAAACCACACCCAACTTGCAGTGACCCCATAGGGTTTTCAAGGCAAAAGATAAACATAGGTAGTTCGCCATTGCCTATCTCTGTGTAACAACCCTGGACTTCCATGGTGGTCTCCCATCCAAGTAATAACCAGGGCCAACCCTGCTTAGCTTCTGAGAGCTGAAGAGATTGGGGCTAGCCTGGACCATCCAGGTCCAGGTGTAGGTAGGCAGTGTGTCCTCTTAAAATTCGAGCAAAGTTTTGTCATTGGTCTTATTCACATTATGGCAAGCTATAACTCAACTCTGCCTGTAAAGAACAGAAAGACAGCAAGACCCAACCTTTCTGAAATAAGTGCTGGCATGTATCTGCAGGAAAAGAATATTTAAAACATCTTGAACTTAGCTTTCATTGACTTTTTTAAAGATCACTTCAGCGAACCTTAAATGAACTGAAGGAATATCAGAAGCAGCATGACCATTACTTGAGGCAACAGGAGATCTTAGAAAAGCACAAGCTGATTCAGGAAGAGCAGATCTTGAGGAACATCATCCATGAGACACAGATGGCAAAAGAAGCACAACTTGGTACCTATCGCATAATGACCATTCTTTGATCAGTTTGAAAAATGAAAAGTGTCCATGTGGTTCATGAAAGAATTCTGGGTTTTTTTATGGAACCAGCGCGTTTTGATAAATGGCAGATGGTATTCTATTGAGTGGAATGTTTGCTGGAGAAATATTCCAGCTCAAGAACTGTTTGATCCAGAAGTTGCATTTCAATAAGTTCTGCTTATATAAACAGAGCCTGTGAGTGATCTTCTGTTAAACTTCCACGATCAAGATCTAAAGGGCTATCTATGAGCTTTTTGGCCTCTTCTTTTTGGCAGCATCGCCCTCTGCATACTAATCCAAGCTTTCCCAATAAGCCAGCGGCCCTTCAGAACAGCATTTTATTAGGCTGAAGGTACAGTGTATAGCCGAGTCACAGCTTACTCATGGAGACAAGTTCCGCCTCATGATTTTTGAGATAAGAGGTGAGCAGAGGTGGCTTGCCATTGCCTTCCTGTGCATAGCAGCCCCTGTCTTCCTTGGTGGCCTCCCATCCCAGTACCAACCCTACTTAGATTCCGAGGTCTGATGAGATCAGGCTGATATGGGCTGTTAGGGCTGCTCCAGGTCATACCATTTGTTTGGTGCCTCTAGCATGAAGTATTCAGATGAGTGCTTCTAATACAGAGCTTCTGCATGTTACCGCTAATAAACTTACCTTTTTTCTTTTTTGCTGTCAGGTTGCAGCTGACTTATGGTGTTTTCAGGGGTTTTCAAGGCAAGAGCCTTTCAGAGGTCGTTTGCCCTTGCCTGCCTCTGCATAGCAACCCTAGACTTTCATGGTTGTCTCCCATCCAAGTACTAACCAGGGCTGACCATTCTTAGCTTCTGAGATCTGATGAGATTGGGCTTTCCTGGCCTATCCAGGTCAAGACAAAAAAAAGTATAAAGTGTGCCTTTGAGTCACAGCTGACTCATAGCAACCCCACGAAGTTCCACCTCATGAGGTTTTCAAGGCAAGAGATGAACAGAGGTGGTTTACCATTGCCTTTTCTGTGCATAGAAGCCCCCTTCTTCTCTCCCATCCAAATACTGACCCTGGTTAGATTCCAAGCTCTGATTGAGATCAAGCTAGTCTGGGCTATTTGGGCTGCTATTGGAAAGAAAATTGGGCAGTTGCCCTCTGTGTGTGCCAAAGTGTTTTGCATGTGGCCATGGGCCTCTTTGGATGCTGGCCAATAAGTACAGGACATGGAGTGGTCTGAAATTGTAAAAATACATGAAATAGTTACCTTTCAAATATGTATTAACTTTTGCTGTAGTGTTGCATCTCATGTCTGTTAGCTATGAATGCACACAACTGGGACATAGGTAACTGAAATACCCATGTTTCATGAAGTTTGCTCAAGAAATATAATATAGAGATAGCATTATAGATTAGATTAGATTCTGTTTATGGACACTTAGCTTGTGTACTCATATGCTTTATAGCATTAAATGATGCAGGGCAACATATCATTAGATGCAAACTTTTGTTTTATGCAGGGAACCATCAGATTTGTCGCTTGGGCAACCAGCAGCACAGTTTGCATTGCCAGTGGGACCAACCTGTTCGCTATCACCGTGGTGATATGTTTGAAAATGTTGAATATGTTGAGGTTTGTTGTGGTGCATTGGTCTTTTTGCTAAATAATCTATAAAGTTCTTGGAGCTGAAATAGGCACCTCCCTTTGGGATTTAAGGCTGCCTTGAAGTGTTCTGTAGCACCATGCTCAGCACACAATGACTTAAAAGTAAAGTTAGGCATTATTCTTTATTTGGAATTGTAAATAATAGTGTCCATTGTGCAAAAATATATTTAAGTTGTTCCTAGGAAAACAGAACTCCTTTTCTCTATCATAAGGGCTGAACATTCTCCCATGCCTCTTGACCAGAAGATTCTTTGTTGTCCAAAACAGAGATGATAAACAGATGCTGAGCTGAAATCACTGTGTGGCTCCCTTCCTCTTCCATTGGTGGAGCGTGGTATCCTTATTAGAGTTACTCCTACCAGCAGCTCCCCAGCGAGGGCTATGCTAAATATCTTGCACAGTCCTTCTGTTTGTGGTGCGAGTCAGATCTCCAACACATTCCCTTCTGCTCCACAGAAGCAGGACATTTTGAGACCATTGCTTCCCCCTTTCTGCTCGACAGCTCCACCTCTCTTCTTAAGGCAGTATTCCACAATGTTGTGCCTGCCATTGGGCTCCCTCATTCAATTTCTTCCACATTATTGGAGGCATCATCTTTTTGTCTGCAGGAGGAGCATCCATTCAGACACCACTGCCTCCATCATGGGAGGATGCTTGACTTGCCTCCTAACATTCTGTAATTGGCTCCGGCACCCCATGACAGATTTCATGGTGGAGCCCATTCCCTGTCCTCAAAGTTTCAAAGGTGTCCACAGATTGGGAACCCCTGCTCTAAGTGGGGGGAAACAACACTGGAATCATGCTAATGAAGGCTTTTTAAAAGATTGCTGCTTTCGCAGATGTGTCACAGCTTGTCTCAGCTGAAGATAAACAGTGCTGGCTTATGAAGATGCCTAGAGACCTACCTTCTGTCACTATGGAGAAAAGAGGGCCTGCGGAGGCTCAGGGCAGTGTCCTCCAGTGACCTCACAAAGTTGGTGATGATCTCCAGCTGACAGAACCTAGGTCCCAGCAAGTCTTTCCTACTCCTTCCCCTTCAACTATATGTGGCTGACCTTACTGAACAGTCTCAGAAATCCACCCCGAGCCCAAAGGGAATTCCAGAGTCTATCCAAAATGGAAGGCGGCTATGCAAGTGATTCCCAGAATCCTTCAAGGAAGCAATCTGAAAAGTGTGGATCACTCCAGGGGCCATCAAAAACGTAATCAACATTGTCAAAAGTGTATGTACTCTCTGGTGCAGCTATCAACTCTTTTGGTACCCCACTAGAAGATACTTCAGTGGCTACTTTTGTGTCAGGGACCATAGTCCCTAGAAATTAAGATCTCCATCTCAAAGAACCTAGGGACAAAGAAAAGGACTTCGTATCACATAATGTGCAACAAGCTGCCACTTGGCCATTAGAGCTTCTATAACTAACTCACTGCCTCAGTTCCATAGCTGAAGGTAAGTGGTCTCCAGCAGAGACAATGCACAGCATGTATTGGCTAAGCCATAAGTCACCAGACTAGCCCTAGAAGTTTTCAAGCACCAAGTGGAGAAAAGGGTGATAAAAATCTTAACTAACAATGTTAAGAGCTAACGTGGTGTCACACCAGCATCTGGGAGGCCCAGGTTTGCATCATCAGTCTTCCACAGAAACTTGCTGGGTGACCTGGGTTCATTCACGCACTCTCGGCTTAAACTGATTCATAGACTTGTAGGGACAAAATGGAGAAGGGGAGACTATTGTAAGCCACTCTGGGTCCCCATTAGGGAGAACAGAAGGGTCTGAATGAAGTAAACAAATAGACATCACCATGGCAAAGAGCCATATCAACAATCAGGAAGTAACACAGTCCTGCAAGAAGCTCTCCTGCTACTGCTCTGGCTGGCATGACATCACAATTACCTCAGCCCAACATGTCAGTGGCAAATCAGCACCGAGAATGACTGGATCCAGACTCCAAGAGACTAGGTCAAGAAAAAGATGATTTTCTGAGTAATTATTAGAAGCTTAGGGCAACCAGTTTTAGATCTGTTCACATCACCAGCCAATAAGAAACTTCCTACATTCTTTTCTTGGTTCAATACAGAGGGAGCAGAAGTGGAAGTTGTTCTAAATCATCCCTGGCCCAGAGGTTTACTGTACAGGTGTCCAGATTCCCCTTAATAGGATCAACCCAGATAGGGCAGAAGTGTTTTTCATTGAACTAGATTAGTCCAGGATGCCATGGTTCTCAGAATGAATGTCCATGGCAATTCACTCTTTCTGAATTCTTCCAGCACCACATGAAATGCACGTTCAGGGTTCTCTATACATTGTTAGCTCACCTGGAGCAGAATGCCTTCAGATATGCCAGACTAGTCTTCAACGTGCTACTGGCTTCCAGAAGATGTTCAGTGAAAAAACTTCTATGTGAGGCATTCACTACATTGTGTCAGTGCATGAATTTCTCAAGAGCAATAGTAGGAGAGGTGTTAGGCTTCCTCTGCAATGATCTCCAGCAAGGGTTTTGCCCTGAAACCCTGTAGAATCAGATCATATTCCTCTCCAATGTCGTGAAGACCAATGGCAGTTTTCTCAGACTATCCACGCACCCCTTAATCTGATACTTCCTCAGAGCTCCAGGATAAAGATTTCTAAGGAACTGTTTATTACCAAAAACAATTCATTACTTGTTTGAAACTTTGTAGCCATGCAGGTGTGTTCCTGAGTATGCCAAAACTTTGTTGATACTTCAAAACCATAAAGTGACCTCGAGACTTGTTTTTTAAAAAATTAGGCTAGGTAAAATGCTAGTATTTCTGAATGCAATCTTTATGAAAAAAATTAAGGTAACTGCTTTCATTTCAAAGAGGTTTAAAATGTATCCATCTCATACTGTTTTTTTCTTGGTTTAGTTTGGTGGTAGTGATACAGTTTCAAGTATGACATCCATAAATTCTGAACTTCATGCCAACCACAGTGACCTGAGCCACTCCTTGGGATCGTCCCCTTTAGTTCATTCTGTGTTCTCCTTATGGGGTCTGGATTCTGATGCTTACAGGGTAAGTGGACAGAATAGCCCCCTTTCCCCCCTTGGAAACAATGTAATGGCAGACTCTTTGTTCCTTAATGGAGATATCTCAATGCAGAAGTACGCAACTAGGAATATGTATACACAGGAGCAAATCTTGTTGGCCTCATACCTTATAATACATTGGAACTCAAAATAAGCTGCTTTATATGTACAAGTTTACCTCTTCTTTCCAATTTAACTTTTCATAACCTGTGCACCAGTCTTCATTTTGTTATAACTATAACCTGCTGCACAGTGCAGACAAAAGTACTGATGGGATTGCAGCACTGGTGTATAGAGGTCAAAACTAGAGAAACAATATCTGTCAAGTGATTAAAATTTGGACTGCTATGACCATGCATTTAGCTTCATAAACTCTGGAAATTGAAATGCTTTGAATTTCAGGGTGCCTCTATTTTGAATACGTTATCTCAGCAACTAGCTAATCAAAAGAGTAATAAAATTAACAGTATTCTTAACCATCTAAGGAAGTCTGTGCTTTCTTTGACTAGGAAAAGCAGAGTGTTCTGTGGCCTAAAAGATCAGATTGTATAAAATCCTATGCAACTATCCCCACCTCAGAGGAACTACCAACCTATTTCCTGCATCCAGAGAACAGGGGACAAAGGTATGTATTTGGTCAATCAGAAAAGTGGGATAATGGAAGAATCTCGGTACCATGATATGTTGTAAGCGAAACTGTAAGATGCTTTTTTGTGGATTTTTTTTTAAAAAATTAAAAATTGAAAAGAAAAGTGGAATTTAAATGTAATCTTACATTTGTGAGTAAATATCATTGAACTAACAGATACGCTCTTAAAAAAGCTCTTCCAAGTAAGCCTGTATAGTATCATACTACACAATATTCTTTTAGTGGGCATTCAGTGATATGATATGGCAGAGAGCACCAACTGAAAGTTCTTGTGTGTTATCTGACAAATAACAAGGAGCATTGGTTCTGCTGCTGCTGATTCTACACGGATGTAGCCATGCTCTGAGTGGTAAAATCAGTTGTATTATATACTTGTGTGTTGATTCCTGTGATTGTTAGGATATATTCAGTACTCGACAGTGCAGAAGAGGACCATGCAGATACAGATCTCTATGAGCCAGATTGTTCTTCCATTTCTGATGCCCATGCTGCAGACTCATTCTACTTGTTCTTCAAAGAACTAGACAGTCATCTGGACCTGAAGGAAAATATGCCAGACAGTCATGCAAAGCAAGTAAGAAATGTGTGTGTTTTCAGTGTCTTATTTATCCTGCAACTAGCTGTTTCCAGTCTTGGAATGTTCTCAAAAGCAAGAAGTCCTCTCACACAAAACCAAATTTGGATGCAAGTCAATCAAGGCAGCACCCTCTTTGGCACTGATTAGATCCTTTGGCCTTGATTTCTTTGGCTAGCTGACAGAGTTCTTATAAATTAGTTTATTCTATCACTTTCTGCAAGTATATTAAATTAATTCATGTGTTAGTATAATAGCTAAAAGCTGAGCTACAAATCAGGAATCCCCTGATTCAAATCTCTCTTAGGCAAGGCACTGTATCTCAGACTCACCTGTCAATTTGCAATATGGAAATAATAGAATTTGACCTACTTTACCAAATTGTTTGTAAGGATTACAGCAAGTTTATGTATATGAAGTACCTTGAACACTCTAAAGTGTTACATAAATGCTAAGTACTGTGTGTGTGTGTCCCCAGCAAATAAGTGAAAAGAGCAGCCACTGCTATTCTAAGTCACTTATGGGTATATTGTCTGCTCTGAATTATTGAGGGTGGGAGGAAATTATTATGTCTTTCTCTCATGTCTAATGCCAAGTATCAGGGCTCCATGCAATAAAACTGAGACACTCTGGTTGTAGCCCAGTTTTCACTTCTTTGCTGTCTGTTCTGCTGTTAGAAAAGTGTCATAAACCATTCTTCACCAGCATAACCTGGTACTTATTTTATATTTTTTTATTCTCTGGGTCAAACTGCATCTATACGAAGCTTATGAAATCAATGTAGCAGTTTGGGTTTTCCCCAAAAATTTAGTCTTGCCAATTTAGCCACAATCTTCAGAATATATGCTTTGTCAGCTATTTACTTTGTGATAATCTGGCTATCCTTCAGGGCAGTAAATCTGAATAACCAAGCTGGCTTTTTTGATTAACTTTTATACTTCTGGTTAGAATTTTCAATGTTCTTTTTGTATTGTCCAGATCTTATACTCTCGTGTCAGCAATCACTTGTCTTCCCAGCAGCAAATAGGATCGTTTATCCATCATGCCATTGTAAAGGCAAGTATACCCATAGTTACTGCAATGTGTACTTTTTGCTTACCTCCTTGAGTATACAACATTATTGTCAGAGTCCATGAGCACTGTGATCTACATGGAGGCAAGTATCTATTTTGTAATTTAAGGCATTTTACTGATTTCATTTAAACAACAAATAACCAGGATGACATAGAAAATTCCTAACCATGTCAAATTTTACAGCCTCCATGCACAAAAATTATTGAGGCCATGCAGTAAAACTAAGATAAAAGTATGCTCTCCCTTACTCATGTCCAGAGATCTGGATCCTATGGATCCATTCTGCTGATGATGGTGCTTTCTACCAGTGCAAGGAGACTTCCCACACAAGAGGCTACCTCATAGGGTTGTAAGGATAAAATAATGGAGAGAAAAAACGATGTAAGCCACTTTGAGTTTACTTTGGGGGAGAAAGGCAGCGTATAAATTAACTAACTAGCTAAATAAGTTATTCCTCTGGTGGCAGAACCTCTTAAGTGAGACCAGGGCTTCTTGTCCCAGAGGAAAGCACCATCATTAGCAAAACAGACCTGAAGGAGCCAACACAGTATCTGCAAATAAAAAATCTGCAGTGCAAGGGTCACTAGAAGCTTAACTCATTTCAAGCAAACTGTGGCATAATTGAAAATAAATAAGTTATTCCTCTGGGGATACAGAAAGCTGTGGAGCAGCAGATTACAGACCAATAATCTTCGTACTCCGTAGCAATAACTTTGCTATGTATATCTGACCTGCCGTTTCAACAAATGAAGCAACTGAGGAAAATCTCATAAAATGTTGCTGTTGCCATTATTAAATACTGGCCAGAATAAAGAAAATATGCAGTGCTACATAAGTGTTGCATTCCAAAATTATTATATCCTTCAAATCCCACTGACTTCAAAGGATTTAAAAGGGCATAATTCGGTTTCCTGTGGGTATTTTTTATTCATTGTTCTAGTGCTGCTTCTAATGCAAGGAAAATCAAGCTTGAATAACTGTAGCTTGGCAGAAATTCTGTTCTGAGGGTAGGTCTCATTCCCCAGCAGAGGTCTCAAGATCAAGTGCATGTATCCCTGTATAAAGGGCAAGGTACCATTAGTTTTTAGCCTTAATACCACTGAGTTTGATGCAAGCAGGCCACTGTTAAGGAAGAGGGATCATTCATGTGAGTGTGTGATCATTCTTGGAACCACTCTAAGACTTTATTAAAAGCAGCCATGGTCTAGTGCTCTTAAAGCCCATTGAAGGATCTTACCATTAGGTAAGGATCCCAGCATTCCTGTTTATGACTGTGAGTTTGGCAACGTCAACTATGACTTCACTGCCTTTTATATTTTATTAGCAAAAGTCCTGTTAAGATGGCTGAGATGGAGGTCTTTTCTCCAACCACACAGCACTTTTCTACTCACCACTGTCTCATCTTGTCTTAGATGTCAAAATCTTGTCTTAGATAGAGCAAGGGGGCAGGACCACATGTGCTTTTTGAAACCTGGGTTTGCCTCCATTGCCGTGAATTGAACAATCTTTCCAGGCTATGAAGAGATGGTATAAGCAGTGTAGCCTATTGCCAATGTAGAATGCTTTTTGTTTAAAAGAAATACAGACATGTATCTACAAAAATCTATTTGGTCCTTTAGCACTGACAATCTACAGCTTATCAAAATATTTCAAGTCAGATTCTAAAAGCACAATAAGATTGGAATCTCTTTTTACTATTTCCAATATTACAAACCACCAGTAATCTTTTTGACAAAAAAATTACCATTTCTAGTTGAACTGTTAATCTTTTTAATTGATCCAGAAACAAACTTCACCCAGCTGGCATGTGGTTTTACCATTAGTTCAATGTAGCTGAAAAATAATTTTGAAGGGGAGTCCCTATTTTGTTATCCTGCAGAACAAGTTAAAATTGTAAGAATTCTGTGCTTTCTCAATGTGTCTGAAGAAAGTGTCTGATCTATTTGGGGAAGATGTTCCAAGCCATAATCATACAATTTGTCTCAATGATTCCCATCAGATCTTTACCTTAATATTAGTATAAAGGCACATTGAATACTTGCCTGGCCCTGTGGTAATTCATGAAAACCAACCAGTTCAAGTAAAACAGCTTCTGTCAACCCCTTCCCATCTGACCATTCCCATCTGTCAAAATAGTTATTCTTGCATTTGTCCTTCTCCAGATCTTTCAGTCTGTCAAAAGCTATTTGAAGGGCAGGTTTTGTTCCTTTTGCAATGCTGTGACCAAGAGTAGGGCTTTGTTTTCCCCATAGAATGAATCATAGGGGTTCATGCATACAAGGAAAATAAAGATGTGTCTTTAGGGATGCCATTGTTAGAGGAGTTAAACCTTCTCCCTGTGATTTGCGTCATTTGCTCCTCTGTTTACTTCCCGTGTTGTATTTCTTGGTCATACTAGAGTGTGACATAGTGGAGTGGAATTTTGGGAACTGGTTTTTATATAGTTGGATTCCATTAGAGCAGGGGTGTCAAACATAATGCCTGGGGGCCAGAACCAGCCCGTCCAGGACTGTTATGTGACCCGCAAGCAACTGGTGAAAGGGAGGGAACAGGAGGATGCTTGGAGGTGGGCAGGTGGGTGGAGCCACTCCAACTATGGCTTCAGCATGGCGGGATAGCCTCATCTGCAGCAGTCAAGCAGAATCCCTTCACTTCAGGGACCAATAAGGTGAGAGCCACTGCAGCTGCATTCATACCTATCCAGTTGGCCTGCAGTTCCAGGGATGCTGCCCCAGATGGCTGCAGGGATCAGCATTTGCAGGGGTGTGTGTGTGCAGACAATCCTCTGTTGGGGCATGGGAGCTGTACTGCTGGCTCTCCAGTCCACCCATGTGGGTTTTCCTCTGTACCCCTCTCCCAGCCCATGGGGCCTTGCAGTGAGGATACACCAACTCAGAGCTTACCAGTTGTTGTCCTTTGTAAAGGTTATATGTCTGGTACTCGGCATTATGTTTTATGGCACACATGGCCCAGCCTGACAAAGTGATATTCATGTCAGATCCGGCCCTCATAACAAATGAGTTCAACACCTCTGCATTAGAGTGTGCATTTTTGTTTCATGCATGCATGGCCCTCTGCTGATGATTGCTGAGTATGTTTCAAAGTTGTATAGCTGTAGCATCTGAAGGGGCTTTATCACTAGTACTACAAAGGAGAGGGTAAAGATTATATGGATAACCTTTCCTCCCACTTCTTTTGTTTGTTTTTAAAATTTCAGGCAAGAGATCCTTTATGGCTAGTGCTCAATGAAGCTGGCCTTTATTGGCGTGCATTTGGAAATGGCACCTTTGCCTTCACTTGCTTACGGAAAGCATTGAACCTGGCTCCACATGAATTCCAAGATATCCCTTTAGTCAATCTAGCAAACCTTCTGATTCATTATGGTCTTCACTTGGATGCCAGCAAGCTTCTGCGAAAAGCTTTAACCATCAATGGCTCAGAGGTGAGGTGTTTGCTCTGAAGTGCATCAAGAGAGAAGCTTATTTCCTTACCCTATTTGGTTTGTTTTTAAGCCATTCAAGGGTCAAATATTATAATTTTGCTGGTTTGTTAGATTTGAACCCTAAGTATAAGTTTTTTCTGTGCTAGGATTGACCAGTTGTATGTAGTCAAGCTGAAGTGGCTGCCTCATGCTGTGCATTTGCAGTGTTGTTTCTTCCAGAATGATTAGCTCTGCATGTAAATAAAGCCTGATATGGTGAAATTAAGCCACTGTCCAATGCTCAGCCTTCTAAAAGAGACTGTAAATAGTGGCTTGTCAAGTTCTAAGCCTGCTGATCACAGGTGGGAGTTTCTTAGCTCTTGTCTGTGTTTCACCTGCTCTCAGATCTTTCTCACCTTTCACATTTCCCTTGCCCTCTTATTAGAATGCACAATGGCCTCCCTATTTATTCTCCAGAATGAGGACGTTTGGGGTTGACCCCAGTTCTGATCAAGATACAGAGGGCTTGAGCTGTTTTGAAAATTAGCAATTTGGGTTGCTAATGGGTATTCAACAGCATCTCATTGTTTTGATGTGAAACCTGTACTCTGGAAAAGAGGCTACTGTTACGATAAAATATGGAGAAAGAGAATGGTTTCCAGTTGGCAAAGGTGTCAGACAAGGTTGTATTTTATCTATCTGTTCAATTCTTATGCAGAACATATGATAAAAGCTGGATTAATTTAGATAAGGCAAGTGGGGACCTGCAAGAAACTTGCAGGGAGGGGACATTCCCCACCTTTGCTTCTTCCCCTTCCCCTTCTTTCCTTTTCTTTCTCTCCCCAACCTAATACCCCTTTCTTTTCTCTTCTCTCTCCCACCCAATCCAATCTCCCTTTCTTTCTCTTCTCCCCCCCACCCTTTCCTTTTCTCTCTCTCCTAAGACAATCCCCCTTTATGCTGTCTCCTACAGCCAGTCTCTCCTCCTTTCTCTTTCTCTCCCCTTCAAGCCAATCCTTCCTTCTTTCTTCCCCCCAAGCCAATACCCCCATATTTCCCTTTCTCTCCCACACAGTCAATCCCCCCCTTTCCCTTGCCTTTTCAGCCCAGCAGTGGCAGTGCCTGGGAGCTGCTCCAGGCTTGGTCCAGGTTCCCTGCTACAGCAGCTAGGTCCAGAGCTACTCCCAGTGTTCTGCGTCACTGCAGCTGGGCCCAGAGCTGCTCCTGATGTTCCCTGCCACCAGGCCTGGAGCTGCTACATAGGAGCAGAAGCAGCAGCCGGGCTGTCAAGAGTAACTTTTTTTTTTAACTTTTCAAATTCGTTTGCAAACCTAGAAAGTCACCCAAGTTTGCAAGAAAACCTGGTTGGGGTAAGTGTGCTCCCATCTGCAGATTTAGATATCTGCAGGTAGGGGGCACACTTGGGAATTAGATATGTAGATAGAGTGACTGGTTCCTCCATTCTTACACCCCCACTTTTGACACATTGCACCTTCGGAGTTGTAGTTTTCAGCTGGCCTTACTACAACCATAGCAAAGGGAATTAGAACTACAACTCCCAAGTTGGAAGTCCCAAAAGGCCGTGGGACATTAGCAGGGAGTCAGTTAAATTGTAAATCAGTTAAAGTGGTAAACAGGAAGTGGCTTTGGAATTTAAAGGGGTTGGGGGGGAAAGGGAAGGTCTGGACATCTCTCTGAATTACACCTGATCTCGAGACTACAGAGATCAGTCTCCATGGAGAAAATGGCTGCTTTGGGCAGTGGACTCCATGGCATTATACCCTTCTAAGGTTCCTCCCCACCCCAGACGCGGCCCTCCAAAGGCTCTACCCCTCAAATCTACAGGTATTTCCAAACCCAGAGTAGGCATACCTGTAACTGGCTACAGAACTGCTTTCCAGACCCTTGAAACCCAGAAAACATGCATGTGGCTCTCCTCCCATACTACCCACTTGGGGCAGCAAAATGACTTGAGACAGCCCTGCCTTATAGCCAAGCAGCAGGAGATAAACATGGCTCGCTTCCCTCTATTTTCCCCTTCTCTCTGCCGCCCCACCAGTCACAGCAGGGACACTCACATGCAGCCTCTTTCTAGAGTTCGCTGTATTTCTTCCCACAACGGACCTTACTCCTCGTTATAGGCAGAAAACAGTGAAGACTTAAAACAACTACTGCTGAAGGTTAAATAAATCAGACAATAAAAAAATTAAAAAAGCAGAAAGTGTTAAAGTAGGATTACAGCTGAACACCAAGAAGACAAAAGTAATGACTTCTGAGGAATTACACAACTTTAAGGTTGGCAATGAAGAAACTGAAATTGTTGAAAGATTTTCTATTCCTTGGCTCAGTTATCAACCAAAAGGGAGACTGCAGCCATGAAATCAGGAGACTGAGACTGGGAAGGGCAGCCATGAAGGAGCTAGAAAAGATTCTTAAGGGATGTGTTGCTGGCGACCAAGATCAAGTTAAGTCATGCCATTAGTACGTATTAGTGTGAAAACTGGACAATGAAGAAAGTTGATTACTTTGAATTGTGGTGTTGGAGGATAATTTTACGCATGCAGTGGACCACCAAAACAACAAATAAGTGGGTTTTACATCAAATCAAGCCTGAAATCTTCTTTAGAAGCTAAAATGACCAAACTTAATGTTCCTGGTTGCTGGGAGGGAGAGACTGAACATGTGCACTTCCCACATATATAGGTGCTGTGTTAAAGGGATCTTACATCAGCTTACTTGTGCCCTTTTGCCCTCTATGTGCACTGGTTTCAGTGTATTAGAGAGCTAGAGTCTATATATAACTATGGTGCCCCTGTCCAACTTCTCTCCCTCAGAAGCAAGATTTTCCCTCCATTTTTCTTTCCCTGTCTGACTGAGCTGCCCTAGTAATGTGTTTTCTTCTTTCTTGAAGAACTCTGGCTGTCCCACCTTGTCACAATATGATATTTTGGCTGTTTGCTCAGCCCAGGAACCTGAGGGAAGGATTGGGAGTCCCCTTTAACTTTAATAGCACTAGAGATGTTTTTATATTACAAATTAACAAAATATTGTATTCAACATAGAGGGAAAAGGTCAGGTGAAATCAGAGGTTGAAATTTCAGAGGTAAAACCAGTAGATGCACAGACTTCAAGTCCTTTTGTTTCAAGCTAATGAGACTTTCTTAAGCTGTTCAGACTTACTTAAAATCTTCATGTTAGAGGCTTTTGTTTCAGTGTTTTCTAGACACTCCAGCACACTTTCTTTATGTATTCTCTGACTCTTTTGGTTTCCAGAAGGCTGGTACACTCTACCTAAACCCCTTCTCTTGAAACTCCAGTACTCGTCTTGTGTTTTAAACTGACTCTTAAGGTCTCTAAAAGCAGTTTCTAACCACACCATACCAGGGATCTCTACACTCTTCCGAGCTAACTCTCTGTTTGACTGCATAGGGAAATTCTTCTCTCACTAGAAGATCTATCCCCTTTCTTTGGCCTGAATGGGAGTTTCCATCTAACTACCCACTTGTCCTTGCCAACTTTCCCCCAGTTCTTCTTTCTGTGTTAAACTGCTCTCAGTCAGGGCTGAATTCCGAATGAATTCTTCTCCTCAGCATTCAGGTTTAAAGTCTTTCTCTGCTAAGCTGATGATAACCTGTCAGATTGCTTGAAGCAGCCTGTCAATCAAGGCTCTCTGTTTCTGTGAAGAATTAACCCTTTGTAGTCCTTCGGCTGTTTCTACAGCACTTCTAAGATTTAAAAAAACTACAAACCATCACAATAACATATATTGGGGCACAACTGCTCAAATAGGTGAGTAGTGATACCTCATTATTGTAAGGAGGATGCATATTATTTCTCCTGTATCTTGTCTTCACTGCCTTGTCGTGGCAAGGGGGCTTGCGTGGTTCAATGAGGCTGTGGGCTATGCCGTGGAGGGCCACCCAAGATGGACAGGCCACAGCAAAGAACTCAGACCAAGCGTGATCCCCTAGAGAAGGAAATGGCAGCCCACTCCGGTATTTTTGCCAAGAAAACCCCATGGACAATATCAAAATAGTTGCAGAAAGTGAAGAGGACCTTAAGAGCCTCTTGCTCAGACTTAAAGAGGAGAGCACAAAAGTGGGCTTGAAGCTCAACATCAAAAAAACTAAGATCATGGCATCCGGCCCCATCACTCCTTGGCAAATAGAAGGGAAAGTCGTGGAAGTAGTGACAGACTTCACGTTCCTGGGATCCCAGATCACTGCAGACTGTGACAGCAGCCATGAAATTAAAAGACACCTGCTCCTTGGGAGGAAAGCGATGGCGAACCTAAACAGCATGATAAAAAGTAGAGACATCACCCTGCCAACAAAAGTCCGCATGGTCAAAGCAATGGTATTCCCAGTAGTCATGTATGGCTGCGAGAGTTGAACTATAAGGAAGGCCGCGTGCCGAAGAATAGATTCTTTTGAACTATGGTGCTGGAGAAGACTCTTGAGAGTCCCTTGGACTGCCAGAAGATCAAATCAGTCAATCCTAAAAGAAATCAACCCTGACTGTTCCCTGGAAGGCAGATAATGAAACTGAAGCTCAAATACTTTGGCCACCAAATGAGAATGGAGCACTCACTGGAGAAGACCCTGATGCTGGGAAAGATTGAAGGTCAAAGAAGACGGGAACGGCAAAGGATGAGATGGTTAGACAGTGTCATAGATGCAACGAACATGAAGTTGAGCAAACTTCAGAGGACGGTGGAAGACCAGAAGGCCTGGCGTGGTCTGGTCCATGGGGTTGCGAAGAGTCGGACTCGACTGTGCAACTGAACAACAACATCTTGGAACTTCTTGATGATATATTTATAATTTTGATTTAAAGGCTGCATTCTAGGACTATATTGATGTTTACAGTGTACCAGGATATGAAAAATGAAATATTGTAAAATTCCCAATTAGTTTTGATTCATAGACAGCCAAATAGAATTTCTGTGCTAGTACCTAATACTGTTGCTTTGTTAAAAGGCTTTGGAGCATTTTTCCCAAAAGGGGAAATTAAAAGCCTGATCATTTGTCGAAGCATACAAGTTAACAATTTTGGCCTTCACTTTTGTTTGTGCTGATGTAAGTTTCCTTTTCTTTCTTTTTAGCCACTGACTTTCTTGAGCTTAGGAAATGCCGGCTTGGCTCTGAAGAATGTTAGCGGAGCATTGCAGGCTTTCAGGCATGCCCTGGACCTGACTACCAAGTGTCCGGAGTGTGAGAAGAGCCTGAAGCTAATCCGCTGTTTGCAGTTCTATCCATTTTTGTACAACATCACCACCTCATCCTGCAGTGGTAAGCAGCTGCTAAAAAAGTCCCCAACATAATAACCTATTTTTGTAAGGCTTCCTACAGAAATAGGACTACACCTCTCATTGATAAGCATATTTCTTCTGCTGGTCTATTTTAATTTATTTTGGTATTCATAATCCCCTTTTTTGCCTGACGGGAGGCCCAAAGCAGCTTACATCATTCCCCCCCTCCATTTATCCTCACAACAACCCTGTGAGGCAGGTTAGGCTGAGAGAATGGACTAGCCCTAGGTCACCCAGCAAACTTCCATGGCAGAGTAGGGATTTGAACCTGATATGTTATTTTCCCTTTAGATCTAGCAGAGAGTGATTTCTAAAAGTCTGGAGCAAAACCCTGTTTCCCCTCTCTACCTAAACCCCTAAACCTCTCTACCTAGTTCTCCAGAGATCTCTCTACAAAGAGTATTAGGGCAGGATTACCATTACTTTGTAGTACTGTTGGAATGTTTAAAGAACCAAATACTAGTGGAAAAGCTATTAAAGAATAACTTGTCATTTTAAGCCTAAGCTTTCCTTGCTGAATAGAGAATGTGCATATATGCTCATTTTAGAAGAGGCTTGGGAAGTAATTTTAAAGCCAAACCACTGTATTAAATACAGGTGCTGTGTTTCTTTAGAACATTTGAGCATTTTTGTAATATGCCTTTCTCCCTGATACTAAAGGTGGATTGATACTTAAAACACAGTAGATGCAGTAAACAATGCATGTAGTTCTAACTTCCTGTTTAAAGAGAGCCGTGAAAAGCTTGAACAGAAGCCTTCAAAATTAAATGTTAAAGCTGTGATGAAGGTAGCACCATCCCTGCTGCAATTCAGAAAAAATGCAAGGCAGTTTTTTACAAGCACCTTTGACTAAATGTGATTTTTATACTGGCACTTTTAATTTTTTTTTTTAGGATGGTGGTTTTCATTTTTGTATATTGTATTTATGACTGGAACCCACTTTGAACTTCCTTAGGAAGAATAGTATATAAATATATTAAAGACATTCTTGCATGTTAACACTCATACTTTATTTACAATGTATGGGTGGAAGGAACCTGGAAGTCCATACCAGCTTTGCCATTCACTATTCTTAAACTACTTGGCTGCAGCTTATCTTTTGGGTCACACATAGCACAGTGTCCATTGTGTACTAAATGCAAGGGCTTCTATTTGTTGATCATAGGTTCTGAGTACTAGATAAAGAAATCTGCCCATAGCACATCCATGGCTGATGGGGTGAAATGTATTTTTCATGTCATGTTTCACATGTATATTTAGAGTGATACCTTAACCATTCCTTTCTTCACTTATGCCTTCTCTACATATTAAAGCAAGATTGAGGCTTTGAGGATTACATAATTCAGTAGCAGCTCTATTGGCTTGTATGTCTTTTCATGGGAGGGAAATGGAAAGCCTACCCAAATAGTTCCTAGAAATGATGTTTCTAATGTGATTTTTTTTTAGTTTGGTGCTAGTTTGAGAGCATATTGATTTCTGTTTCCATCCTTTGTGGTCAGCAGATACATTCAAGACATACCAAAATGAAGTAGACAAAACAGAGGTGATCTAATCGTTTTAATTTTAGGAAGTTCCTTATTTACATTGTCCTCCCTGCATTGCTCTTACGTGTGGTGTTCCTTTCTTTTATAGACTACAGAGGTGGTCAACACTTCAGGTCATCTTGTCCATCACCTGCTAATGAGAAAACTTTAGAACTTTGAATGTGTGAAATAGTGTGAATACTTTTGTTGTTCTGTTCCCTTTTTTTTTAAGAATATGAAATAAACATTCTAGTGAATAAAATTTCTAATATTGATGATCTTTGGGGTTAGGGGTTGGGAGAGGG